ATGAAACCACTGCAATGAATTAAGCATGTTCAATCGAGCACGTAGTGTATGTACAGCTCCTCTTGCTCTATGATTCGTTCGTGCAGTCTGTTTACTTTGTCTCACAGTTGAATGAATATACATCAAATAAAGGATAGTCCATTAAAACAGACACGGAGTTGATTTTATCTTAAACCAGAAGTCTCATTAACAGCGGTGGATGATCGTTTTTGTGAGACCCCTGATGAAGTAATTTACTCGAACAGTGGAAAGAAAACATACACTGAGATTTCATCCTCCTCTCACCCGGTGTTCATAGAATTTCATCAATCTGCCTACTGGGTCATCGCTCGGAATAAACCTTTCAATAATGCTTTTATATGAAGATACGTGAAAACCACGGGGTCTATCAATCACCATTTCTTCTCCCCAGTTTATGCTCAGNTCTCTCTCCTAGGGGATTGAATACTTTGAGCAGAACATCAAGACACATTGACCTCTTGCGTGGGATCTTTGGGGGAGGATCTTCCATCGAGGTAGAAACCACCCACCATTGAACTCCTTCCAGCATCACGTGAACCAAATTCCATCCGGCACATGGGAAACTAAAGGTGTGGTGATCTGAACAGACAACGTTGCACGTGTGCAGATGTGTTTGCGCATGGTGACTCATCTTTTCCGCATTCAGACGTAAACAGACACAAATCGTGTAATCGTGTATATTACAACAGCCTGCTTACCTGCCCCACGTGCAATCCGGCTGATCCGGTGTCAACATCCACAGAACGGTGTGGGTCTGTGCAAAACCTGGCTGATTCACACGAGCGATAAAAAGCAGTATCACCGAGACAGACAGCACTCTGCATTAATTTACAACTGGAATTGAACGATGAAATTAACTAGAAATTATGTGAGGAAATAGTGGTAAAGTTATAGTGATCTATTAAACTGTTATTAATAGTGAAAATCTCTCACAGTTTGTCTACTCCCTTATTATAAATCTCAGATTAGTTTTAAGGTTTACCTAGAGCCGGAAATCTAAAAAGAAACCCGTCGATGAATCAATCGAAATTGACTTAGGAGTGCGGATAGCAGTGTACAACTCGTGAACGTCATCCCTACTCCAAACA